TACGCATTCGACCCTGTTATAAACTCAGTAGGTACAATACTTTTTTATGAGATTTGAATCGATTAATTAATAAATGAATCGATAATGAAACCGCCTCTGCGGTCTAGTGGTAAGACGCTTCAGACGCAGAGGTCCCGGGTTCGATTCCCAGTGGGGGCAGATTTTTCTGTTCGGTTTGGTTGGTGGTACGGCTTGTTCTAAGTCCGCCTGGCTAGCTACCACCAACTTATCTAAGTCTGTCGCCATAACAACAATGTTAACAGCATTGTTGTGTTCCGGCAGTTAGAGGTAAGATAGCCAGTTCCTCCGTGGTTGAGGATTCCGGGTGAAGCTCGCTTCCACCTTTGGCCTGATCGTCACTTACCATCAGGTGAGATAATATAGGCCAAGAGCTTCCTCGTTGTGGATTAAAAAAAAATATTTTTAAACTGTTCAGTATTTATTGTTTAAACACAGTTTTACCTTTTTTAATCATTGCAATATTAATAATATTAATTTGCCAGGAAGTAATTAAAACCGGTGTTAATAGCCATTGCTTTATTTTTTACGTAAGATAAAACTACTTATAAAGGGTTATGTTTGAAAAGTTGCCTAAATTTCAAGACTCCTGATGCTGTCCATGGACTGAAATTAAATGTATGATAAAAAAATGTTGTATGTTGCTTAATGTTTATCATGTGTGGCAAGTAACTTGCTACTTAATGTATTGTAAGTTCCTACTTTTTTATATATTTAAACCGACAAACAGTGGTGACTGAGTTTGTTGCGGCGCTTCTTCTCAGCACTTGCCAAATGTTTGTCTCGAAGCGCTGGTAGGGCAAAAAAAGAATGAGACATGTATAGGCTCCAAGAGCATTTGACGATTTGTAAGTAATTTATTAGTCTATACAAATAAAGATAATTTTTATTTTTATTTTCATGTATTCGAAAGACTGTTATTTAATTTTAAGTCGAATAAATAGTGTATTAAAATAAACGATGTTTAATAGGGCCACATAAGGTGCAAATACGGTCACCGCATCGCGAAGCAACCCACTGATCTGTGCATCCCTTAAAAATGTCAACTTATTGCAAGGCTTCATTAACCCCGTACCCCTTCCCCTCTTTAATGACGGAGAACAATGACGTCACTAATTGGCGACACTTAATTGTCATTGCAATGTTTTTTGTCCGCGTTATGACGCAAGATTCGGTTAACCGTATCCCCAGAATGTCAGTTGTTTTTGCAGTTATTTGAAATTTTATTGCTGTTTTATGGTTTTATTAATATTTGGTCTTTATAATCAGTAGTAATGTTCAAACTTTAATTTATATTTGCAGCAAAATTTTAATGGATCTGAGTGAATAGTTTAGTTAGGGTTTGTGTTACTCGTAGAAGCTTGGCTCTATATGAGATCTAATAACTTTTTCACAATGTGAGCCATTATGGACTCTGCAACATTTTTTGTATGAAATTGATCTTATTTAGTTTCAATATTTACTGCAAAAAAAAATTAAATGAAAGGAAATATTATAGCGACAGAGCTACATCTGTCCATTTCCATCGTTATTTGCTTTATATCTTTAACTATGGAGAAGTCATCTTAATCAACACTTTGTTTGCTGACAGCTGAAACAAAGTAAACCTTCATTAAATATTAAGGTTCATGTTAGAACTGCTAGAACTTCCTTAGTATTTATCATTAGATTCAATTCTTTCGTCGGCAAAGTCGACAACCACGCATATTTACCAATTTTCAGAAACACATTCTTGGAATAATAACAATTCCTAACTTGGTTTCTCTATTTTATTTATTTTGAAATGTTTGTTTCAAAGATAACTTTTTATTTTAAAAACACCCTTCTCAAAACATTTGAAAGTGAAATCACAGTTTCCTTGCGCAGTCTCAATTTGTCCGCCATACATTACCCGCGATCGGGGCGAGCTATAAACTATAAAGAACGTCAATTCCCATGATTAATGGTGCCCTTCGTCGAGGGGCTGCGAGTTGTTTACAAAATGCTAAGATACTTGCGAGAATAACTGTGTAGGCGCGGGATAAGAATTACTTTATTGTAACTTTTGGCTGCGTGGATTTCGGTCTGTCGAAAAAAAAACATCGTTTATATCCATAACGCTTGAGAAAAGGTACCTAGTTATTGTGTATATCGTTGTCTTTTCTTGGCGGGCACACTACCATGCCCCCAGATATGCCTATATTTCTAGAATTTAGCTTTTTTGCTAGCTGTCTTACTATCAGTAAGTCTACTAGTAAGGATACCCAGTCAGTAGTTCAAGTAAACTACTGGGATGTGTAAATTTCAAGATCGGTTCAGTAATTCCAGAGATTTAATACTTCCTGATAATGTTTTACTTATGTAAAACACTGTTCAGTATCTATCATGAAGATAATTTAAATGTAGGTACATTTAGGTAATTTAGGCAATAATTTTCAGCTTGGAGTATGCGGGGGCCCCCTGAATAGTGCATAGTGATCTATTAACGCACATCCCAAACCACTGGATGGATCGGGCTGAAATTTGGCATGCAGGTAGATGTTATGACGTAGGCATCCGCTAAGAAAGGATTTTACTAAATTCCACCCCTAGGGGGGTAAAACGGGATTCAAGCGGCCGCTAGTTACTTATAAACTTATGAAATCCAGTCAGAACCGTCAATGCCTCTGATTAACTAGGTAAATCCCGTTGCCACAATTTATCACGATTTCCCAGTTTAGCCACCCTTCATTTAGTTAAGTTGTAGCCGGAGTAATGGCCGTCATAACAGCACTTTGCTGATTGCCTCTACATTGCGGGGAGATGCGATGTTCGGAGTTTATGTCCGTCTGTCTGTTGAGGCTTTACGATTGCATATAATATTAGTTAGAGCTTCTGTATATGGCTTTGCATGCGGAAGTTTGGTTATCAAATCAAATCAAAAATATTTAATCATATTAGTATGTACTCGTATATTCCTTGGCTGTTCACTTTGTCAACGGCATAAGAAGTGAGTCCTACCACCATAATTTAATCGGCTGTTGCTGAGAAGTAGCGAAAGAAATATTAGTCAGCCTCCTATACATAAGTCAATCATCATTCCTTTATCACCCCGTAAAGTTTTGATTCTGTCTCTGCTAAAAAAAATCCTTGACTCATTCAGACTAAGTTTTTCTTGTGAATGCTAAAATGTAACCTATCCTACTAATTTATTAGTTATTTATTTTATTTTATTTCACAGGTTTTATACCTTATTATTACGTAATTAATTTATGACGATCTGTAACAAACTAAATTTCACGCGGGTGAAGCCGCGGGCAAAAGCTATCATTCAAATAAATAAAATAAAAGATAAAATCTCCTTCAGATAAATAAAGTAACTAGACAGAACACCAAGTTTCAGTACTGTGGCAGTTAATACAGTTTAAACTACCTTATGGTTATAAGGTACTATAATTTGTATATTTTAAAGACTGTAAACCCTTGAAAAGGAGGCTGACAATAGTGACTGAGTTTCTTGCGCTGCTTCTTCTCAGCACTGGCCCATTTATTGTCCCGAAGCAGTGGTAGGGTTAATACTGGAACGTGTAAAAGTGCTTTTTAAAAGCCTATTTGCAAAAATAAATGAGATTTATGAGAATTGCTATTTTGCACTAAAAGGTATAGCCTGAGGTGCTATCGACGTATCGACAGTACATTGCCCTTAAAGCTAGCACCTCATTCGTCCGCCCTCACCTCCGAGGGCCAATGGTGCGGAGGGCACAACAGGTGGGCGGGCCGCCATCTTGGGTTTAAAAAGAACAAAACATGGCGGCGGAGGTGACTTTTTAACTTTTTGCTGAATGAAATGGAAATTGTTCAAAATTCCATTTGTGCTAAAGCTTACGTTCGATTTAGATTCTACTGACATTCTCCAAGCCGTGTGGTGACGGCAGAGTAGAATACATTTGTCACCAACCCCTACTCTTCCTACGGGTGTATCGTAAAAGGCGACTTAGGGACTACACATCAAACAGAGAACGGGCAGCAGCGCTCTCTGAAAAACATCAATCTTTTAAACTGCGATCTCCAACCCGCCTGCCAAGCGTGGAGATTATGGCAAAACCCTCCACTATAGTGGAGGAGGCTCATAGTCCAGCAGTGGACTGTAAGGGCTGTTGATGATAATGATGATGACATTCTGCAAGTTATTCTATTTCCATTTTAATATGACAAGACGCGGAACGATTTATTGGTACTTCACTTTACCTATTTTGTATACGACCGACGCGACGACGACTTTTTGCTCTAAAAGAAACAATTGATAAATAAATACTAATTAATCTACTCTATCGCATTGGGGTAACCTGTATGTAATGTTTATTTTATTTTTATTTTATTGTTAGGTAAACAAAGCATTCTATAACACACAGAGTTACCAATTAATTTTCACATTTGCCAAAAGATGTTACAGATATGATTGTTATTAAATTAAGTAAATAAATATTTGAAGCAATTTTGAACAATGGCTCTGTTTTGCCTTACGCCCCCACTACTTACTTACCACTACTTAGGGACAGTGGGCTGGTAAACGGGACTATTGCATCCCACCTCTCGTTCCCACAGCTGCAACTCCTGTGTAGCCAGGATCTACAGCTTGGGCTGGAAGACAGTAGCGGCGTTAGGGGGGGGCGGTCCGCCCCGGGTGCCAAGCATCAGAGGGTGACACAAGTCGCGCAGATTAGTACTCACTGGCACATCTGCATGGCAAATCTGCGGTCTGTCATGATACGGGGGAGGGCGATTGTCTTTCAATCTTCGAATCGGTAAGTAACCCCAAAATCCTGCGGGGTACCAGGGGGTGCCTTAGGACTTATTACAGGGGGAAGGGGGTGATCGCCCCGGGTGCCAACCCATGCTACGCCGCCACTGCTGGAAGAAACACAGCCTTTGTCAGCCTCCCTAATATTTATCATATTTTCGTAGTAGAAGTAAAATAATGTCTTCAACGCATTACGTCAATAAAAACATTGCATCGGCACACATTGTATATTTACTGAAACCAAAAAGGAAACAAAAAAAACATCCAAAAACAAAAACAAAACTCAAAATGATTCCCCTCTTCCTCGGTTAAGTAGGCGCCAGTCACGTCACCGTCACGGCCGTGATCAGCGCGATCGTGAGCCACGCTTGCCACGCCACGACAGTGTCCCGCCACGTCACGACAGTGCCCCGCCACGCTCGCACGCCTGGCGTGACGTTGCACCAGCTGCCGGTGCATACGCACGCGTGGAAACGCGCGTAGAGCGAGATACCGCGTGAGAGCGGGACGAGAGATGACATTGGACTTATGATGCAGCCGTTGTCTTCGTTCTGTAACCAATCCATAGCACAATACAGTGTGAGTCACGTTAAAGTGTACATATGAAATTAGGTGAAACTAGACCTATTTTTATCGACAAAAAAGAGGTCAAAAATTTTTTGAGATTTTTTTTAATTTTTTATCAAATTTTTTTTCTTCCAATTACTTATTGTAAAGAAAACGTAATAACTTTTAAACTAAGCAGTATATCCTGATAAAATAAAAACAGTAATAATGCTAAATAACAAGCGATACTAAAAAAATACATAAAATACACAAAAAAGGCCAAAAAATAATAAAAAATGATACTTTTTGAAAAAAATCTGCTTAAAAATTCGTGTTTTTTTGGTTATTTGATAAATTTCTCCAAAAAATGCCCCTATAACTGGTGGTTTTTATTACTTTGTATTATTCTCTATCGTATTACCTTCGTAAAACCAAAAATTGCATGTCCTTATGCCTATCACAACGTTTGCAATGATTGTTTGAACTAAGCCTCTCCGGGCGCGCCATTCAACGCTTCGTTAACAACGAAAATGAAAATGGCTCTAGATTTGTAATTTTGATAAAAATAAGTTAGATTGCAAATAAAAACAAAATATTTCGAAGTAAAATAAGCATTTTAGGCAAAATTAAAATTGTCTCTACCTGTAGCGGAGAATAATGTTATGGCAGGCGTCTGTTATTTAGCATTATTACTGTTTTTATTTTATCAGGATATACCGCTTAGTTTAAAAGTTATTACGTTTTCTTTACAATAAGTAATTGGAAGTAAAAAAATTCTATAAAAAATTAAAAAAAAATCTCAAAAAAATTTTGACCTCTTTTTTGTCGATAAAAATAAGTCTAGTTTTATCTATTTTCATATGTACACTTTAACGTGACTCACACTGTATAATAAACTTATTGATACCCACACTTACACAAAAATACCCTGGACTGATTTCAGAATCTAGTAGGCATCTTTCTTCAACTAGCAAGTGAGCGCAGGGTCTCAATTTGAATTTTAACGAGCCTTATTATGGTGCGTCCAGACTGGACGAATTTGCTCGCGCGGCAAACTCAACATCCTGCTCACTCAAGAGCAGAGTGAGCAGGATGACTAGCGTGCCGCGCGAGCACGTTCGCCCAGTGTGGACGCACCTTAAGGCTTACAATTTAGAGCGTTGCTGGACGAGATTCACTGTTTTGGGATGAAAACGGCTAGAGAATATGTTAAGCTACTAACTAGGACCACTAACCAATCAAAGCAGAATATTTAGCCTTCTCTCGACTACAGAGGCAATCAGAAGGCGGTGGTTTTCGCGAAAACTTTAATCGTATTTTGGCGGTCTACTGATATATTTTCCATTTTACTAAAATGCCTTTCCAATCCGTTCACCCTGCTGAAATGACTTTAGCAGGGGAACTCTCGCAGCAACCCTAATTGTGTCACCTTCAGAGCCATCTCGAGCTTGGCCATGCGCTTGCTGACGTAGTGTTGGCCCATGGTCGCGTGGCGGCGGTTGCGGCAGGCGCGCTGCGTGTAGACGCCGCTCAGGTCGATCCAGCGCACGGAGCACCCGCCGGTCCAGCGCCCGAAAACAGAACGCGGCTGCGTCTCGTTGATCAGCATACCAGGCCTGGACATGATGAGACCATGAACATTGGGTGCACGACACCATTAGACCTGGTTTCCACCAAGGTGGAGGGGTGCAGAAACGAGAGAGCTGTGTGGCGAAGCTAGCAGGCTATTTCCACCAAAGCTGTGACGAAAGAGTGACGTGCGAGCTGTGCGTAGCTGTCAGCTGTCAGTTTATTGATATCTTAAGCAGGGTACTCACCTGCCATGTAGCACGTAACGTAGCATGTAACGTAACCAACCTTTAAGTGAGTACGGCTCGTCCACGGTCATCGCGTATCTGGCAGCGAGCTCCTGAATCCTACTGCGAGTTTCTTTTGTGTTCGCAGTGATACCGCCACTTGGCGAATTGGTACTGCGAACCACGCGCGAGCAGCTCGCAGCGGGCTCGTGCCTATGTACTCACTTGATACAGTATCTGATACATTACATGCTACACGGCTAGATGAGTACCCTGCTTATGAACCCCGCACCGCTGCGCATATCTCCGCACTGCTCCGCCTTGGTGAAAACCAGGCCTTAGGCTACGGTATCCTATTAAATGCTATATGCAGCGTCTCAACATCTTAAAGAGACCACAACAGACATTCGTAGTTTGCATTGTGACGTGGGCACGTGGAATGCACGACAAAACCTATGGGTAGGTACAGTCCGGTCGCCGAGCACATAGAATTTCGTCCAATGACCCCAAGTTACCCATCCTTATCGCTCTCGCGTTATTATATTGCTGTCGCGGCTGTGCGACGGGCGGCCGCAGCGAGTGTGCGAGCGGATCAGACTTTAGTCGCGTTTTGACAGCTCATTAAAAGATCAGCCCCCACAGACAAGTGGCAAAACGTGACAGTTGTAATTTTGTAATCGCTTCACGCAAAGTAACCACATAATTATCTACAATAAAAAAGACGTCGGAGCGAAGGCATTGAAAATTGCACTGTTGTTGAGGTATAAATAGCAAAGGTGTGTCAATCTCAATAACTCGCATTTAGCCAGCTCATCAAACGATAAATTAAATGATGATGACTCACACGTCCAGATACCGGCAGTACTTCCGGTAGGTCGCGATCTGTCCCTTGGCTCGCGGGTCGACGGGAACCAGCGGCAAGAAGTCTCCCGCGAAGGCGTCCGCGCAATACGCGTTGCGGGGAATCCCCGGCGTGCCCATGCCGCACACAAAGCACTAGCGAAAACACAGGCGATTATCACACTGCACCGCGCTCCGCCGCGGTACGCGGGACGACAGATTTAATCATTATATGCAAGTACCTCAGTTTGTATAGAAAACACGCGCGGCACAACACACTGACAACGCGTTTGCGCGCGGGATTCGTTATAAATAATTATGTCACTTCACGGTCACACGGGACCGAAGGGGACCGTCACGAATCCGCTGCGAGCTGCTCGCGCGTGGTTCGCAGTACCAATTCGCCAAGTGGCGGTATCACTGCGAGTAGAGATGGGTAAGTGCTAATAATCCGATTAATAGCAATTGGCTAGTAACGGATTAAAAGCAGTTATTAGCCATTAATAGCCAATAATAGCCGATTTCAGATGGTAACCCTGCTATTAATGTTATACTAATGATTAAACATATCCCTTCATAGTTTACAAATTTAGCACTTGAAATTTGGAAGGGACGTAGCTTAGGTACCGTAGAGGTGCATTAAGAAAGGAATACCCGAAATTCCCACGGGTACGGGAATTAGCGGGAAAATCCTTTTGTATGAAAAATCTAAACCGCTTAAGTTAGACGCTTGAAATTTGGCATGCAGGTACCTTAGTAAACTTAAAGCTTAGTTACAAGAGGATATTGCAAAATTCTCACGGGATCGGGAGTTAGCGGGAAAAAAACATTTGTATGAAAAAATCTAAACCACGTAAGATAGACGCTTGAAATTTGGCATGCAAGTACCTTAGTAAAGTCAAAGCTTAGTAACAAGAGGATATTGCAAAATTCCCACGGGAACGGGAGTTAGTGGGAAAAAACATTTGTATGAAAAAATCTAAACCACGTAAGATAGACGCTTGAAATTTGGCTAAAAGACTATTTTGACACCACTCCCCAATAATTCGAAATCACAACTTTTTTGAAAACGCACTTCATTCTGGTCTTAAAAACTTAGTTAATTTTAAATTACCTCTAAATTAAGATTTTTGATCGCATTGCAATTCAAAAAAGTAGTTAAATTGAGTTGATTAAATAGTGACGTCACAAGACTTGCTTGTACTTGAGTTCCCTTTTGACAGTTTTAAAAAGTATTATACGTCAATTGATTGGTGGTGTCAACACGTGTCTATTTAAGGCCACAGATGAACTAGGGAAAGTCCGAGCATAGCACGCTTCATTGCCCTTTGGATGTCCTTGAACTGAATAAGGCTTGAGACTAGGGATGTTATGGATAATGTTTCGGTTACGGATATTTTTTTATCCAAAACCGAAACCGAATTTATCCGAAACTTTCGGATAATCCGAAATGATTCCGTATCCGTAACCGTAACCGGTATATCTGTACCCCCAGTGAAAACGGAGTTAAGTCGAAAATGGTGATTTTTGGGAAATCGCATTTGAAGTTAAAAAAAATCCTGCTTCGTCGCTATTAGAGATAACTTGGTGAAATATTTTTTAGGTGAAAGGTAATGTTAGATATAATTAGGCAGTGTGCCAGTTTGGGAAATATAGCATGTAGTTTTTTCGTAATTAAATAAAAANGCCGGGTAACAGAGAAAATGGCGAAAATGAGGTTTTCATTTTTCATTTTTGAGGTACTAAACAGTAAAATAAAAGGCTAAGATTTTTTTTGGGCATAGTTGAGGATATTTTCTGGGGCTATTAACGGATGGAAACACGATTTGATGAAGTTGAATCGATAGAATAAATTCCCAAAGTTACCTCTATTCGTTTTCTAATTATGGTTTTATTTTTAAAATAAGCGATTTGAGATTCTGAATCTTTTACTAAACTAAAGTTCAGAAATAACTTGAGGGCTTTTAACGGATGAAATTTTTATATTGCGTCTTATTTAGTTACTATGTTAAAAAATGTGGAAAAAATCGCCCATGACGGCTTGGACAATCTCAATCAGTCGCGCGGCACAATGGACGGAAAATCGCGTTTCATACTCATAGAATCCAAAGTCAATTTCTTAAGAGACAAATTATGTAAGATTACTTGAAATAGCTCTTTAAGTAAATATTTACTAAAGAAAGGAACACAGTGGGTCAAATTAGTGGAAATTAAAAAAAAACATTTTTTTTTGTATGGAATAAATTACGTTTTGTCATTTTTCTCGCTACTGTTTGAAACTGTAAAGCTGGTTTTTATACCATGTATAGCGGCCACAAAGGCGCATCCTATAAGGTATAGGGTATCCGCCGGGACTTGCCGCTTTGGCTGTTATAAAATTCTAAAATTTCGAAATTTTCTCCCTGGTGTATTATGGAATTTCAAAGAATAATAGTGAGTTGACAATAGTTTAATATAGTCATAGGGTAGTAAAATAACATCAGTATAATATTATAAGGAAAAAGTAACTTAAAAAGATAAAAAAAATGTTATGATTAAAAAAACAAAACAATTAGCAAAAAAAAAAATAAGAATATTAATTCGTAGCTAATCCAAATCTGAGTCTTCAATAGGGTTTTCAAGATCAGAATCCATCACACCCAGAGCTTCAATATCAATGAATTCGACGTTTTTGTTACTACTATCCTCAGATTCATTTTGAGGATTTAAAAGAAGTAGATGTTTCATATCTTCTGTTAAAACTTTTTTACTCGTTTGTCTCAATTTTGGCCTTATAGACGATAAATAAGGATCAGATGATATTATTAAATAATTTAAAATGTCTTCGTTTGTGTTTACTCTGTTAAATTTTCGGGCATGTTGTAGTCGGCACCTTTTAAAATCTTTATTTCGGGCTTCAGAGGCCTCTTCTGAAAGATTTCCTATCGGTATCGAGTTAAAATGCCTAACAATTTCTGCGCCATGGATCAAAAGTTTGTGCACACTGGATGGCATGTAATACCAGCCATACAATGTCACAAACAGCTCAGCAGTTTCCTTTGTATACTGAGCGAAGTTGTCTATATGAACAGACTCACCGCAGGATATTACTCGCAAAATTACTGAAAACCTTTTTATAAGATCAACGTCGATTCCTGTGCACTCTGCAGTCTTAGCTGCATCTTTAAAAAAGCGCCGAGCAGTATTGCCATCGTTAGTCGTTCCACTAGTTTGCTTTACTACGTCCACCAAAATATCTAATTCGTCTCTGAGGTTTTTTTGAACAGCAGTTTTTCTAGCTTTTAAGGCTGCTTGATTGACAGGATCTCTGGCTTGCCACTTCTTAAAATCCAAGCGATATGAAACATGGAGAAGGCATTCCATGCACCGAATCCAAGCATGTAACGATGACAAGCCGAATTTGTAGATATCTGACGCAATAGGTTTTCTGAAAATAAGACTTATATTAATGTAAAGTTCAAACAAAACTTGATTGCGTGAAATCCTAATAAACAAATACTTACTTCGATATTAACTCCAATTTGTTCATCTCGGATGGTACTGCTCTACAGATATCACAAGTCTGATTTGACGTGTCTGACAATATAGAAGTTATCTTTCCATCTATCATTGTCATCAGCATTTTGTGCTTTACCACTGTATTATTTCCCATGGGAGATGGTGTCAGGTTAGTTATTTCATCCTCTATTCTTGCCATCTCTTCTTTTATGTTTAATTTATTTTCATTGGCAAACTTAAAAAAAATTGGTCTGCAGTACATAGTGGATGATGCCTTTGGATTCTCCCATACAGTTATCTCACCATCACTTAACTTCAACGGCACAAAAGAACACATAAAAATGCTGGAATCGTCTTCCCCGTCAGCCAAAGATTGTTTGTACAGGCTTTGTCCCGAGGCTCCATCAAATCCCCATTTACATAGTAATGTTAATTCCCTGTCAGCTAAGTCAGTATCAACCACTTTGGCCAGCCGAGACACTGTCACGTCTAAGATTGCTTGTAGTTTTACTTTGACTTGAAACTGGTCGATACTAACAGAATCTTTTGGTGGGTAGCATGCCTTCTTAGCGTTCACTATGCAATCGTATGATGGATAGATATTCAGTCCTTCTTCTATTGCACATATTCTCAAAGTTTGATATTGCCATTTTGTTAACTTTAATGAAATAAACAAACCCAATGCTTTATCATCAGAGTACTTGAGAGCTTTTTTCTTTTGGATTACTGTCTTCAGATTTGCTGCTTCTTCTGGGTGTTTTGTGAGAAAGTTAATAATATCTGCTATATCACTGTTACCACTTTCACGACCCTTAAAGGCTGTGGCGTACATAAGACTATCAAAGTCATGAGTGCGTAGTTCTTCAGTTCTTCGCTTCTTTTGAATGGGACTCAAATCACTGAACGGTTTTCTAGGAGAAAGTTTTATAGTAGAAGTACCCATTGAACTTGTAGCTTGAACTGAAACCTGAACATCAGCAAAACGAGATGTAGAAGGTCTATTGTCAGTATCCATGTTTGTGGAATCTGAAGTCAGTTTGTTCTGAATACTATTAGGCCAAGAAATGTCAGACTGTAACCAGCTTTCATATTTTTTTATAAATGTAAGGTTCGTACGATTACATGATTTCCATTTTTTCTGCAAATTACATAAATATGTTTGACAAAACTGCTTCAATTCTTTTTGTTCGTTTTCTAACAAGTCTTCTGATAAAACTGACACAAACTTTTCAAATAGCACATGAGGTGTAGTAAAGCACTGATTATTTTTAACAAACAAAAACAAGTCCAAATTAGTCACAAAACCCTCCATTATCAAAGTATTTAACGTAAATCAAAATATTATGTAAACACGCAAGTTACTGGATCAATAGTGATTACTTATTAAGAGATACCCACATTTTTACTTACAATTTCAACTAATAACATCTACCCTCGTTATACTGTGTAACTTACCCTCACAAATCGTGATATAATTGGGGACAGGAATAGGAAAAATACCCAACCCAAATTTTGAAATTTTGACATAATATAGCAGCCAAAGCGGCAAGTCGCGGTACGTATGCTGTAGGTCATAGGAAGCGCCTTGGTAGCCGCCATACATAGTATAAATTACAGCTTTACAGTTTCAAATAGTAGCGAGAAAAAAGACATAACGTAATTTCCTCCATACAAAAAAAAATTCAACATTTTTTTTCTCACTTGTTTGACCTAATGTGTTACNCAACATTAGTAATTACACTATGAGGAATCATTATTTCAGGTTATTTAGGGTAAATCGTCCAAAAATTTCTACTTATATCAATATACACCAATTTTGTGATGAGAAAAAAAATGTGTAAACTGATCTAACTAACATAATAGCAATCTAAGTATCCTAATAACTATGTGTAAAGTGATATAAGTGGCGATTGTAAAGGAATAAGGCTAGAATTTTAGAGTGGATTCTAATTATTTACTCCCTAAATGTTTATTCTGATCTGAAACTACTATTTTATTAATTATTACACCATATACCATGAATGATATCGGCCTAAATCACATACATTATCTCCTATTTTCAACCGACTACAAAAAAGGAGGAGGTTCTCAATTCGACCCGTATGTTTTTTTTTTTTTTTTTTCTATGTTTGTTACGCGATAACTCCGCCAATTATGAACCGATTTGAACAAATTTTTTTTCGACGTATAGGTAATACCTCAAGAGTGGTCCCATTTAAATTTAACAATAAAAAAAAACAACCCCCAAGGGTGGAAAATTGGGGATGAACTTTTTTATACGCAATATCTCCGCCGATTATAAACCAATTTGAACGATTATTTTTTTGTTGAATAGGTATTATCAAAAGGGTGGTTTCATGCGAATTTGAAGAAAATATTTCACCCCCAAGGGTGGAAAATTGGGGATGAACTTTTTTATACGCAATATCTCCGCTGAATATGAACCAATTTTTTTTGGTCTCTGTGTACTGCCTATCTTCAGTGGTAACATCAAGGTAATAATTAGTTAACTAAAAAGCAAGAAATAAGTAAAATTTTATAAAAAAAAAATAAAACCGACTCCAAAAAACCTACACTAAAACGTAGAAAAATAATTACTAATTACCTACTTATTTATTAGGACGAATTATTAATATTTATGTAGGTATACCATGATTGATACTTTTGGAGTCGGTGCAGGCAAACTTTACATGTTTCATAATCTTGGCACCGACTCCAGAAGTATCATAGTAGGTAATTAGTAATTATTTTTCTACGTTTTAGTGTAGGTTGAAGCAATTGGGTAATAAAGACCAGAAACAACAATGGTTTCACATCAACTAATTAGACTGGAGACAGAGAAAAGTTTGCGCATTATGTTTTCCTTTAATCTGACAATTGGGCTAAGTTATATCATTTTACACCAAATAATTAACCAAATCATTAGTTGCGATTTTCAAATGTTTTTGATCTAAGTAACTGATAACATTTTACACATGTACGAAACTTTTGTGGTTAATGGTATTAGTCTAATTGAATCATTATACACAAAATAAATAATCATTTGTCTTTTACTTTTTGTGATATAAATTAAGTTACATTCTTTTTCACCAACCAACAATACATAGTTTTTTTTGTGTATATTAATATGAGTCATCTTATATTGTTAATCACAAATTCAATCTGAACAACTTCAATCGTGTAAAAAGTAGTAACACGAGTCGTACCTCTTGACACAATAAAAAATTGAAAGAAGCCTCCGGTACACTTTGTTAAAAGTAGACATGTATCAATATACACGAAAGAAAACTCAAAATTGGTTCACTAAGCCTTACTTGTATCATTTGGCACAAAATTATTTTCTTTTCTATACGTCGTAGAAACATACCGATTAGATACAAAAATAGCTAATTTTTCAGAGATTCACATTATGTTATAAAGTCAATTTTGATCTAAGTCGAGTTAGATCCCTTTTCACTGGGGGTACAGATATTATTCTAATGTCCGTAACCGTATCCATAACCGAAACTTCATATTCTTAGGCTGGTTTTAGTGTCACGCGGACCGTCCGGTACGGACCCGCTCCGCACGGCCAATCTGTATGAACTTCTAGGGAGCGTTTTAGGGCTATATTTCACTGGGGCACCATGGCGGCGCAACCAGTCGCCGCTACCAACAAAATGCATAGAGCGTTGCGCAACCAAACGGACACCAGGTGAGTAACTCTCTATAGAGCTGTATACATTTTGTTGGTAGCCGGCGACTGGTTGCGCCTAGGGTTGCCAGGTCCAAAATCACAAAAGCCGGACTTTGTGCTTCATTTGGCCGGACATTTTACCCTAAAAGCCGGACATGTGACGAGGGGGGGGGGGTGCAATTAGTTTCAGCTCATGAGTGAGGTACTATCATCATATCGGTTGCTAACCAACATCCTGATGCGTGCGCTTCATATGATTATGTGGCTCGACTTTTGCCTGACGCGGCAACCAAATAAAAAGCCTAACAAAAGCCGGACAGGCCGGACAAGGCAATATTTGGCCGGACAAGTCCCTAAAAAGCCAAACATGTCCGGCTAAAGCCGGACGCCTGGCAACCCTAGTTGCGCCGCCATGGTGTCCCGGTGAAATATAGCCCTTAGAGTAATGCGGTCCGGAGGATCCGCTCCGCTCCCTAGCAGTTCATACAGATCGGCTGTGCGGAGCGATCACTAAAACCAGCCTTAACATCTCTGGCCTAACCTTGGAGATGATGGAGGCGTTGACGAAGTCATATGTGGGCTCCTCGGTGGTGGTGGTGTCTCCGCACATCGGGATGCCGTACTTTTGCAGGGTGGCGTTGAACAGCTCCGTCAGGTTGGACTCGATGGTGTTCATGGTGAGGTTCGCTATGATCGCCACCAGCTTCCTAATATCGATGATGTCAGCCGTGGAGGCGGCCTCGGTCGTCGTAGTCGTCGTGGTAGTTGTCGTGGTCGGAGTAGTGGCTGAAAACGTCATCATCATCAACATTTCAGCCACAGGAACATAGGAATCTCCCAATTATTTCCATAATGATTGGTAGCGAGCCTTAACATCATCAGATTCGGTTTTTCTTATTTAAGGGCAACCATCTTTCCCACTGGGCACTTGGGGCACGTGCCCAGGGCCCCGCGACTAAGGGGGCCCCTGTCTACTCCAAAGACCTTTCTCCGGATGATATAGGCCCCCCTTGATCCTGAAGTGCCCAGGGCCCCTAGTAGGTTAAAGACGGCCCTGCCTCTCTGGGAGATGTATGTCTGCCAATGTCGAGTGAAAATATTGATCGTTACAATCTTACAATAGAACGAGGGTGGGTGAAGACAAATATTGGTTTAAAAACACCATCGGGTTCAAAGCGTTCACTCGACAATCGATGCGCGCTCAAACTCCAAGTGATTCATTGTTCATATAAATTGATAATCACTGCACTTTAATTAACTAAAAGCAAGAAATGCGCCGGCTTTCATATGTTTCATAATCTTGGCACCGACTCCAAAAGTATCAATCATGTTATATTTTAATTCGTCTTAATGAAAAAGTAAATATTTCTACTTTTTAGTGCATGTTATTTGGAGTCGGTTTTATTTCATTCTACAGAAGCTGGTGTAACCTTAAACAGATCAACCATGCTCCCTGTTCAACAAAAAACACAGCCGAATAGTGAACCACCATTATTTTTCTAAGTCTGTTGAAAAAAAAAATACAGATTGTCTCCAAATTAGCACGTACGTTAGATGGGCCTAAAACGCGTCAAACAAGCCTAATTATATCCATAGAAAACTTTAATGAGTTTTAAAATATAACTGTTAATAAGATTTTAAACTTTCGCGTTCCATTAAACCAGAGTAAATACAAATGAGTAGGTCATCTTCATAGAAATGCCCGAGCGCGGTTTGTATGTGAGCGCGCCAATACGTATGCGGCGCGCACGCACACACTGACAAAATTTCGCGTGGATTAGCGGTGAGGTGCGCTGAATTTTTTCAGTGTGTGCGTGCGCGCCGCATATATTGGCGCGCGCTCACATACAAACCGCGCTCGGTGCGTTTCTATGAAGATGACCTACTCATTTGTATTTACTCTGATTAAACTAAATGTGACCACGGCTGCAGCATAGCAGCCGAAACGTCAAGCCGGGTACTTGTACCTACTCCCTATCCTATCCTATCGAACCTTAACTTCGAACTACTCCAATGTTCTTCTGATTAATTTCGTTGCAGGTCCAATGACAGTTAACTTTCCCCCGGGACAAACTTGACCTTCATTGGTTAGGTTTTTATGGCGGTCAAGCTGTAGATCCTGGCTACACAGGAGTTGCAGCGGTGGGAACGAAAGGTGGGAATAATCCCGCTAAGACCCGTGTCTTTCTATTTTAGAACTGATATGAGTTATTTTTTAAAATGGACATAATAGACTTGTTCGATGCTTCGTAAGTCCACCTCTGATAGTCCAGTCATTTTCATTATGTGTACCACCTGAATTCCACATTTACCTATGTTTTGCAAATAAATGATTTGATTTGATTTGATTTGATTTGATTTGGTATAAAATAATGGGGTTACCTGGAAAGTTTTCCGGGAGTATGAAAATTGGGATTTATACTGATTTCGATGTGCTCTTTACGAATTTCAACTTTGCGAACTCGTATGGTTGCCGCTCGTGCCGCCATATTGGAAAAATGCTGCCTAGTAGCAGTTTTTTTTATATTTCCTTTCGGAATTCACAACTGCTGCACTGCCAGTTTCTTTTTCTTTGAACTTGGCTGAACATGCTGCCGGGTGTCCAGATGGGGAGCCCTCTCAAACGCATAACATTTTTCATCATAATATAGTTTGGCAAATTACATACGTCAAGCAAGCCAATTATGCTTATGCAGAATTTCATCATTTCGGCTGCTTAGCGATGACCTCAAATCAAGCGCCTGCACACGCCACCGAGTCAGCATATTTCGCCCTACGTGACGTCAAGCCGCCAGCGCCGTTTCCTCGAGCTGCCCAAATTTCGTTCACTTGCGTTCACACTTCGAACCTAGGCACTACTTTTAGTCTTAGTACTTTTTATTGTAATTTTTATTTTATTAATTAAATTAGTTTGAATTAAAATAGTTTTTTTTAGATCCTACGGCTGTAGCTTACGTAATTGGCACAACCTAAATAAATAAATAAATAACAGTTTTGGCATAAAGTTTTTTCGCATAAATTTTGATATTCAATGTTTTCTAAATGCATAATGGTTTCTTAGGCAAAATAATAATAACTTTATCTTATTTCCAATACCATAATTTAAATAATTATAAAAGTAAAGAACATAATTTTTAACTTCCTAAAGTTTGTTTTTTATAAAATACCTACGATGTATTTAGAAGAAATTAATGAATTGGTTACTGAGCAATGGTTTTTATAGCATTGACGAATATTTTAACTTAAATAGATTAGATAGTGTATGATTTATTGTGACATCTACATTTAACTTTTGACATTGTGAAATCAATGCATTTTTTTATTATTTTACTTATCTTTTCTAATTAATTACCGTTATATTAAGTTTATGCCTTATCAATTACCGTGACCATAAAATTTGAGGGTCTCATTTACGCGAAAACCGCTTTGAATAATTTAGAATAGAATAGAATAGAATAGAATAACGTTTATTTTGCTGCCACATGAATACACATACATACATAAAACAAACGGTCAACATTACAGAACCAGTCAAAAGAATGTTAATTAAAATTAAAATTAATCGGGACAGTTACCTACTTGGCGGCGCTGCAGCAGCAAAAAGGTCCCCGTCTCAGCATGTGTCAAGTGCATACCACATGACGCTGATTTTCAGACGGCGGCCGTGGTCTGAGTTGCTCGGTGTATCAGGATATTTTATGAGTTTTATAAATGTCAAATTTAATGTCAAGTAGTAGAAGAAATTAATACAAATAAAAAATAATAATAAATTAAACAACATTAATATGTATAATTAAAGGAAATGTCAAAATTAAATGTCAAATTTGATGCTATTATGATTGTTAAATTCGTACTTTTCAGGTCTTTGATATTTAAATGCGTTTAAGACAAATACTTAAGCCAAATTTAAAAAATGATACGGTAATTAGGCGGAGAACGCCTAATCGTGAGAATGACTGCTTCATAGGTCCAAAATAATTTAAAAAAACTGCGAAATTTCCTGAACTTTCATAATAATACAAAAAAACATGTTACTTATTAGGCCAATAATTATTTCCTGTAATCGCTCCACTGAAGTGGTAAGTCGGAGATTCGGATACATGTTTTTGACTTTCTTAGAGTGAAATAATATTGGGAATCCTCTAAGTTTACATTACGTAGAACAGATTTAGAGACAATAACTGAACAGAACATGTTTTTATTGTCAACGAGGAAGCTCTTGCCCTTCATCTCACCTGATTGAAAGTGTTGATAAGGCTGAATGTGGAAGGGAACTTCAACCACAGAGGAACCCTATCTCCTACTGCTGGAACACAGCAATGCTGTTAACATTATTGTTATGGTGCCAGACTTAAGAAGATGTGATAGCTAGCCAGCCAGATTTAGATCAAACCTTACCACACAGGAAATTTCGCCTCGACAGGGAATCGAACCCAGAACCTCTGAAGCAGGTGGTCTTACCACTAGACCACAGAGGTGGTTGTAAAATTTTACTATTACCTTTAAAATACTTAATATAGTGATGAAAAGGGGGAATATGTGGTATGTGGTTTATGGGTATTAAAACTACATACAATAACAAAATGTTTCGGCAGTTGAAGGAAGGATAGCCAGAGACATGCGATTTTTGGTTTTACAAAGGTAATACGATAAAGAATAACACAAAGTAATAAAAACCACCTGTTATGGGGGCATTATTTGGAGATATTTATCAAATAACAAAATAAAATGCGAATTTTTCTCAAAATGTACTTTTTTTATTATGTGTTGCCATTTTCTGAGTATTTTATGTATTTTTTTAGTATAGCCTGTTATTTAGCATTATTACTGTTTTTATTTTATCAGGATATCTCTTAGTTTAAAAGTTATTACGTTTTCTTTACAATAAGTAATTGGAAGAAAAAAAAATCTATAAAAAATTGAAAAAATAACTTTAAAAATTTTTTACCTCTTTTTTGTCAACAAAAATATGTCTAGTTTCACCTATTTTCATATGTGCACTTTATTGTGACTCACACTGTATAAATGCCAATTTTCATTACTCGCGAAAAACTTTCCAGGTGAAACTACCATGACTGGACTATGGTGTCAGTGAAAGTAATTTTAGGTACTCACGCCTGGATCGTATTTCATAGTAAGTTGAATAAGTGTCGTAAATGGTATGACAATATTCCCTATCATGCTGGTTTACATCATAAAAATCACACCTGCTATCTACCACTACCCATGACCTGCAAAATTTATCTATGTTAATAAAAAATACAAATTTTAGATTAGAGAAATAAAAATATTCAAAAGTGGTTTAACAACATATGAAAATTAAATAATACAGGGTGGAAACGATAAGTGATCTCACTCGATTATTTCTAAACTAAACTCAACATCAAATAAATCGCACCTTCCGCGACGCGAAATTTAAAGATTTTCTTCTGTAACAATCATTGTGCCCCAACAATATTGGTTTTATTAAAATTTGAAAGCCCAATAAATATCCTTAAAGAAAAACTTTATCTATACTTATAATAAATCTGTAGAGAGGTCAATTCTTTACATGAAATATATTTTCAAAATAACTATCAGGGGGTGATTAGTGATCGATACTGATGCCAAAAATGCAATCAGTAAAATGTTTGTCTGTCTGTCTGTCTGTCTGTATGTTCCTTATAGTTAGAACCAAAAACTACTGGACGGATTTTAACAAAACTGGGTACAATTATTCTTCATAGGTACTCCTGGGCAGGTTATAGTATACTTAGGAATTCCCACGGGAACGGGTATTAGCGAGAAAATCCTTTTGTATGAAAAATCTAAACCGCTTAAGTTAGTGAATTGTCACCTAAAATCCGCCATTTTGATTTTTTTTTTTCAATTTTAGTATAGCCAGTGTCACTCTCACGATTAAGATGAATCTAACGACACCTCTCACTCTAAAATCGGTCAAGCCGTTTAGGCTGTAGGCCGTGCCAAAGCAATGTACATACATACATACACTCGAAAAACATAACCCTCCTTCTGGCGCAGTCGGGCAAAAAGACCTCACTTTGGGCTCACCTCTGGGATAGGTAAATTAGACCAATTTTAATGGTTATAAAACCAAATAATGATCTCACGTGTCCTCTTTTAACAGATGGATAGCATTTAATCTAATATTTTTTAAAATATAATAATATTAATTTAATTTAATTAATAGCCATTAAAGTTTGCTCAAGCATAACTATCTACCTATTTTTCAAGAAGTGACTCTAGATCCTTCTAAAGACACATTTATTTTTTGGGATAAAAACATTTCCTTTAATGAAATGAAGTTTAGAACTAGGCTTTTAAATGGTACCAATATTGGTGGGAAGTGGGGATGCATACGTTTGAAAGTACTTGTCGCGGGAGGTGCGATTTATTTGATGTCGACAAGATATCTAAAAACTAGTTAACTACTGATCCTGAAAGTGCTTTATGAACTCTATCAAATGGTACATTAAGAATGCAATAATTCATGAGTTTTTATTTTAAGTTTATTATTTGATAAAAAAAATACACTTCTAATATTGTGCAACATCAAAATAGTTACCCTATGTTTTTATTCGGTTTTAAACCCTATGTTTTAGGCGTTACACAAAAACTAATAGGTACGAAATTCGTTAGTTTATGTACCTAAATAAACAGTTGCTATAAAATGTATCTAAAGCCTGGTCCATGAGCACGTAGAATCCCGTCCAATGACCCCAAGCTACCCATCCTTATCGCTCGCGCGTAATTATATTGCTGTCAGATACATGTGCAGATACAGCCGAATTATACAGGGTGGATGAAAATGAAAGATGACGGGATAGAGAATTGGAATAAAACATGGTTGCTAAGTAAATTGGGGAACGTTTTTGTTTTAGGGCTATATTTCACCGGGACACCATGGCGGCGCAACCAGTCGCCGGCTACCAATAAAATGTATACAGCTTTGCGCAACCAAACGGACACCAGGTGAGTAACTCTCTGTAGAGCTGCATAAATTTTGTTGGTAGCCGGCGATTGGTTGCGCCGCCATGGTGTGAAATATAACCCTTACAGTCTTACTTGCAAGTAGTAGTGTTGACACACAAGCTAGGGCATGTTGTCCCATGATACTTTATTCTTAGGAAAGGTTCCTTCCTGCATCTGAGATCCGTATAAATATACATCTTGTAGTATACTCCTCTAAGATACGATAACTTCTTATCTGTTAAACAAGAATAAAAACAATTAAAAAAGATATTTAATTTTTAGCGTTAAGAGTCGCATCTCAATCTAATTTGAAAATTATAAATAACTTGAAAAAATTGGCTGTAGCACTTGAAAATTTCGACGGGTTTATCCAGTGTCTAAGTAGCTCAGTTGGAAGACTTGGAAGAGCAGTCGCCCGGCAAGCGGAAGGTTGTGGGATCAATTCCCGCCTTAGGCAGTTCGATTTTTTCAAGTTATTTATAATTTTCAAATTAAAATAGAAACGGGAAGTTCTCTAAAGTATGGAAGAACCTGGGTCAGATTTTGGGCCGTTATTTGAATCATACTGAGTCTTGAGTCTCACTAACGTTTGACGTCACCATGCCGTCCGCTCCCATACCCCAGCTTCATTACTGTTCGTTCGCGAACTTAATACATAATACAATTACCTTGAACATTATCTACCCGCTGGATTCGAGAACGGTACTCTAGCATGAACAACTTTCGTCTTCGAATCGTTTGCGTGTTCGATAAAATTCGATACTCAACCTTCGAATCCAACGATAACGTGACAATTTTGATTCTCAAAATAAGTTTCGTGAAACCACATCTCATACTAAGTTCACTTTACGACACGTTCACAAGGGCGCTGTTGTAGTTTTCTTACTGAATCTTTTTGATGGCGATTCGAGTACGCAAACGATTTGAACTCGAAAGTGTTTCGTGCTAGCCGTACGGGTCTGCGTTACCCGCGCCGCAGCCGCGCCATACCTTGAAATTATAGTCATTTATGAAAAGGCCATACAGTGGCGACATACCAATCTGTGGTTCCGTATTATGTGCCATATATCTATCTCTCAACATATACGCAGATACTGTGCTTAGGTCGATCTGATTGGAGGCAGTTGATGACAAGAGGTCAACAAGCCTCTTATTGTTCGTCACGTCCTGAGTGAAATCGCTCAGGTTCCGACCTGCCATCATTTCTTTAAGAACACCTGGAAAAAAGTTTATTTAAAGACACAGGACACATAATTATTATAGCTACTATTAGCATCGGCGATCGGCGATTTTGCCGGTTTTTAAGGTTCCGTAGTCCTGACATGGAACCCTTATAGTTTCGATATGTCTGTCGGCCTGTCTGTCCGAGGTTTTGCTTGGAAACTACGTGCACTGGGGAGCTGTAATTTTGTGGTAGTATGTATTTGATGCGTGATCATTCGATTCAGATCCATCGTCGATGTTGGTAGCCTGGCATCCCCCGGTGATTCTTTACACCTCTTGCCCCACCGTTACCGTGACCGCTACCGTAGTCCGGGATAGTGGGGCACATCTTCCCGCATCACAGGCACGGAGTCTCTACAGTTTTTATGCCTCTAGCATATCAGAAACATATTCGGGATCGTATTTTTTCTTTAAATTATGTCTGTGTAATTTACAGACAACATGATTGTGTCTTTTGCCCGTTTTCACCACCAACCCCAATTTTTAAGTGACCCTATGTAACCTTTTTTTTTTTTTTTATGTGATAGGAGGCAAACGAGCAGACGGATCACCCGATGGTAAGCGACTACCGTCGCCCATAGACACCCGAAAATCTTCTATGAAAATCGTACACTAATGATACTAATTGTGCCGACGATAAGGGAGTTTATAAATGAGACAGAAGTTGGTATTTGACTAATTTATTAATTACAATTATGGAGTATATATACTAAAGAAAATGAGAGATACCTAAGTAACGTCACAGTATCTAGCATCTTATCGTTACGTGAAAGATCTGCTGACACTGTGAACGTGATTAAGATTAACGTATGCAGAGATTGAGTATTGTGCATACCGGCACAATACTTAGTAAGGGAACGCTTAAAGGATTGATGGTGAGGAGGGGCATTTAACTACCAAATAAAGAAAGAACCAGATTATGAAGAAAATAAATATTTGCTTCTTTCTAAAGCAGGGTACTCATCTAGCCGTGTAGCATATAATGTATCAGATACTGTATCAAGTGAGTACAAAGGATCGCGCGTGGTTCGCAGGGAGATCGCAGCGACCCGCCGACTGGTGGTATCACTGCGAGCACAAAGGCGGCTCGCAGTAGGATTCAGGAGCTCGCAGCCAGATACGCGATGACCGTGGACGAGCCGTACTCACTTGAAGGTTTGTTACGGTACATGCCACGTTACGTGCTACATGGCATACATACCCTGCCTGAGGCGTACCTCTGACTTCACTGATCTCGTTCGGGCTAAGGGTGCGGACCGGAGGGGTTTGGTCTTCCCGCCGGATCCTCGTGGGCCCCGCCGTGCCCCCCGTGCCCCCCGTGTCCCCCGACTGCGTCGACAACATAGACATCATTGACGTCATTATTGACGACGAGCTGACAGCTGAAGAAATAAACAACAAATATTAAACAACATTTAAGTAAGCGGCACGACGAAGAGTCATCATTATCGTAGTTATTAAATTTCGGCTTAAGAAGAGTCGCCTCTCGCTCTAAATATTTTTAAAATAACGGAAAAATCAAACTGTCTACGGTGGGAATCGACCCACTTCTTTTCTTCGATTCCCACCTTAGGCAGTTCGATTTTTCCAATTAATTTTAAAAACATTATCATCATTTCAGTCAAAGGACGGCCACTGCTGAACATAGGCCTCCCCCAATGATTTCCACATCGGCCAGTTGGTAGCGCCTTATTCCTGCTTCATGAAGTTGTCGGTCCACCTTGAAGCCGGACGTCCCGCGCTGCGTTTTCCGGTACATGGCCTCCACTCCAGAACCTTGGTGCTCCGGTGCTTGGTGGACCGAAGATCTGGTGAAGGTCGCGAGAAGAACCTGAATTCGAGACCGATCGTTATGGAAATCCTTGGAGGAGGTCTTTACCAGCAGTGGATCTGGCTGAAACGGGACTATTCCCACCTCTCTTTGCCACCGCTGCATATCCTGTGTATCCAGGATCTACAGCTTGACCGCCAATAAAAACCCTACCCGTGAAGGTCAAGTTTGTCCCGGGGGAAAGTTAAACTGTCATTGGACCCGCAACGCAATTAATCAGAAGAACTTATGAGGAATTCGAAGTCATTTGGCTGTGTGGGATATGATGTTCATCCACAATAAGGAAGGTAGATGTTAGTGCTTCCTTCCGAGCGGGTGTTGTGCTCGGGGACCAAGGTCCAATTTACACCATTTTGATTTGTGTATATAGGTATACTTGGCAGGATATACAACTCCGTCACTGCGATGCAGGTTTGTATGAGCGGCGGAGTGTGCCATAGTGAAGTAGTAACAGCGCCATATGTTGGTCACTAGTTTTGTAGTGGCGTCGCCACAGCTGAAACGGAAGAAAGGACGATGACGTTACCTTTCTCGTCGTAACGATCGTAGATATCAGCATCGTGGTCGCCATTGCGTTCTGTATGCGAGCCCCAAGCGCCGGGGCCATGGCTCCAAGCCAGTAGAACCACCGCTAGCAGCATCTAACCTCGGTTAAGGGGAACCGACGGGACAACAACTACATCTACCTAAAAATCAACACATCTTGCGGAAAAGCACGGACATGTCAAATGAAAGATTGACAATGGAATCTGACATGTCAGAACGGTTTGTCAGGATTGGAAAAGAAGAGAAAACTATTTGAGAAGGAGGTTGTATGTGCAAAAAGAAAATTATGGGTATTTTCCTCCACTCCCCAATAATAAAATTGTAAAGCACAACTTTTTTAAAAAGACTTAATTATTTTTAAATTACCTACCTGTGAATTAAAATTTTTGGTTGCATTGTAATTGAAAAAAGTAGTTGACAATATAGTGACGTCACTAGGTAGTTTAACCATACAAAATCTATGGGAGAGTCGTTTTTGGCAGTTTTAAAAAGTACGTTAATTGATTACGCAAGTACCCTATTCGTCGCGGGCACAGCTGGGTTACCTCTACTACATCGAATAACGTATTATTATGATCGAAACCATATTAATTTGTTGTCCCTGAATCCAAAAATGTGCCCAGTTGTCCAAGTCTTTGCCTTACTAAGAGATAAGAAATTAAATACATTAAAATACTGCCTCTATCTACAGTTACGCAGTCCTAATGCAAAAGTCAAGCCAACATAGTTATAAATTAGCCGCCATAAACACAATGCGGAAGCAGGCTCGACAAACTATAATGCCTTCGCTTCCACAATACGAACGGCAAAATGGCGTCGGACAGACTGGCGCCAAAACTTCCCCGCGAGAAGACGTCAAAACGTTGTTACTTTTCCGACAACTCCAATCGAAATTGTATTGTATTTCACCAAGAATAAGGCTCAAATTTGTTATGTTGGTGTTTGCAGTTTCAGTATTGACTTTTCAATATAACCTCCTATGCGTTTTCGGCGAGGAGTGTTTTGTTTGCAAAATTGTATTTTATTTTCTAGCGGATACGGTTGCATATAGAATGAAAAGTTTTATAAAGGGATATGATTTGATAAATTTTTCGTTGGCGAAGCGTTGTCTGGGTGGCGCCAAGTCTGACTAGATATCATGCGGTTGCGATGTAGACTTTATCAGCTGGAGATATGGTATATTTCAGCAAAATACGAGCTACAGCCCTAAAGGGCCGGAGTTAAGATAAGGTTATTCGTATTTGCGTTGTTTTTATGTTTTCGCGTTCATCTCAAGAAAATGCGGGGTGACTCAGCAGAAATTTTAAATCTTTTAGAGCTATTTAGTTTTGGAATGGAAGATTAGGTATTACGTTAGGTACGTAGTTTCTTTTAAAAGTACTTACCTACCTACCATTATTAGGTAGGTAGGCTCCCGTTCTAGAGGGTGAGCAAGGAAGCAAACACGTCGATGTTCTGATGTATTCAATAATGTAAAGTTTCATCGAAATCCGTTCGATAATTTTTGCGTGAGAGAGTAACAAACCCGTCCTCATAACTTTCACAATAAAATTGTCATACTTATTTAGTTAGGACATAGATTTATTTATCTATGGTTAGGATAAGATAGAATACCACAGTAGCACAAGTAAGATAGAATAGGGTAAAAAGTAGAAATTAGGATAGGATAGCAGGATTGTAGGATAGCAAGAAGTCCACGAATAGAGTACCTCTGACATAAACAATCGGTGGAGGGTTTACCACCTCCATGTCCTTAGGGGTCTCTTATTGAATCTAATGCAACTAAAAATGATAGAATTGCGACAATAAGATATTTTAGAATAGTAGGATTTGATTAGGAAAGTAAGATAGGAAAGATCAACCGCCTCTGTGGTCGAGTGGGTAAGACCACCTGCTTCAGACGCAGAGGTCCCGGGTTCGATTCCCAGTGGGGGCAGATTTTTCTATTCGGTTTGGTTGGTGGTAGGGTTTGTTCTAAGTCCGCCTGGCTAGCTACCACCATCTTACCTAAGTCTGTCGCCATAACAACAATGTTAACAGCATAAACAGCATTGTTGTGTTCCGGTAGTTAGAGGTAAGATAGCCAGTTTCTCCGTGGTTGAGGATTCCGGGTGAAGCTCGCTTCCACCTTCGGCCTGATCGTCACTTACCATCAGGTGAGATACAGGCCAAGCGCTTCCTCGTTGTAGATGAAAAAAGAAGATAGCGGGATTGTAGGATAGTAGGACATTAAGTTTCAAATCCTATTAATGGAGTCTAAGAGTGAAAGAGACAACATTATCCAATTATCTTTATTGAAATAGAAACTGGAATTATTATTTATACTTCGAAGGGGTAGTAGGGCGAGGCCTCCCAGTGCTTCACAGCTATGACGCGGTAGCGCCGATCGTAGCTCCGTAGCAGGTCCCGCTCCTGCTGGCTCAGCGAGAAGTCGAACACGTCGATGTTCTGCTCGATGCGATGCTTGTTGGTCGACTTGGGTATGGGGATCACTCCTAGCTCTATCTGCGAATAATGCAAACACTTAATACATTTGTAACAACCATAGAGATATAGAGAGATGCCAACTAATGCGCAAAGTTCGAAACTCACGCCCGTATTCACAAACAATGCTTGCATAAAGGCTTCCACAGACCAAACGCGGGTCAGAAGCAGTGCGGGTCAGTTGCGGCGCGGCTGAGGCACACTGAAAGCAGCGCATTATCAGAGCAGTTGCAACGCGGGCGGTTGTCAAAAATTTAAATATTCGAAAACTGCTTTCAACGCGCTGCTACCGCCCTGCGTCTTTGTCATGCTGATAATATGGCCGCCATAGTAATACAACAGCGCGGGCCCGCGTTCGCGCCGCTTCTGTCCCGCACCCGCGCCGCCTCGTTTTGTCGTTCGGCAGTTACAGGGCGGCGCGGTTGGAGCGCGGGCCCGCGTTCAAATTTGTGTGACACACTTCAAAGAGTTTCTTGTATTACAACTTGCGCGGGCCCGCATTCAAACTGCGCTGCTACTGCCCCGCGTTTGGTCTGTGGAAGCCTTAAGTGAAGCAGCAAATCGAACGTTGGTGGTGGTAGACGTCCCTCCTTCATCAGTATATTATTTATTTAAAAACTAAGTACCTCGTATCTTAGCGCCACTTGCGGTACGGTCTTATTATACTTCTGTGCTATAGCCACCAGCGCCGGCTCCGTGACCCTGGGCGGAGGCGCGTCGTCCCTGGCCTTGCTGTCCAGCAGAGATCCGAAGGGCGTGTACCCGGTGACGGCGATGTTCTTCTGTTTGCAATACGCGAGCAGTTCTGGCTGCTGGAGGTTCAGATTGATCTGGAAAATAAAAGTTCTTGTTTATTAGTTCTATAGTCTGGTCCGGGAGCACATAGAATTTTGTCCAATGACCCCAAGCTACCCATCCTTATCGCTCGCGCGTAATTATATTGCTGTCGCGACTGTGCGACGGGCGCCCGCAGTGAGTGTGCGAGCGTGACAGCAACATAATTACGCGCGAGCGATAAGGATGGATAGCTTGGGGTCATTGGACAAAATTCTACGTGCTCCCGGACCAGACATAAAAAATCTTTTTTTTTTAGCATGGGCTTGCTCTTGAATGGTCACACCAGAGGGGTGCAGACGCGATCTATGGTGGATGGTGGAGCGAGCGGCCCCTGAAGATGCCTGTTCACTCGATTATTCAAGTTAGGATTGAGTATATTATCAGCACCAGCCTATAGCAGGGCAGGGCACATAGTACGCAGAACTGACGGCTGATGGGGCAGCAAGGTTCTGGAATGGAGGCCGCGTACCGGAAAGCGCAGCGTGAGACGTCCACCTACAAGGTGGACCGACGACATCGTAAAGGTAGCAGGGAAGCGCTGGACGCAGGCCGCTGCCAATCGATCAACGTGGAAAGCATTGGGGGAGGCCTATGTTCAGCAGTGGACGTCCTATGGCTGAGATGATGATGATGAACCTATGCATTAATTGTTTTTGACACATTTTGGGCTCGACACCCTGAACAAAACGTATCTGAAAGCATTTGCAGATCCAATGACAGTAATTTTCAGTTGGGACAAACTTGGCCTTCATTGATTGCTTCGTATTGGCGGTCAAGCTGTAGATCCTGGCTACGCAGGAGATGCAGCGGTGGGAACGAGAGGTGGGAATAGTCAGCTAACCTCGACTTGCAGCATGCTAGGCTTCACCCTGCTCAGCGAGGACAGCCGGTCCAGCTGCGCCTTGTTGAAGTTGGACACCCCGATGGACTTGGCCAGGCCCAGGTCCCGGGCCTCTATCATGCCCTGCCACGTTTCCACGTAGTCGATGTTAGCGAGAGAGTGGTTGGACTGTGGAAGGAATCGAAATTCGAAATCAATTATAACAATGTACAACGTGCTCCTTTTGTTTTCCGGAAATTTTAGGGGAATATTCTATAAATAAAAACTAGTTAAAGAGTCTTAGGAATATGTGTTTCTAAAAGCATATTTTTGAAGATATTTTGGATTCTAGATGTATCAATCTAGTTTTTTTTTTTTTCAAAATTGTCACTAGTCTTTTTGTGCAGACTTTTTATTGATAAGTGTATGTAAATTATGAATTATTTCAGTGAAAAATTAAGTTTTTAAATAATTTCGTATGAAAAAATAAGTCGAAAATTTTTTTTGAATTTAACAAAAAATGTATAATGCCATTCCATTCTTTGAAGTGGTCTTAATACCCAGAGTTCTAGGAAATCAAAAAGAGCACGTTGTATTATCAACATGATAAAACAATTCATGCACAATACTTTAAAGCTTAGTGCCTCTCAAGTGCCTTCATTGCACCTTCATACTAGCGGCCGCAACTTCATACGCGTGGATACCGTTTTACCCCCTTAGGGGTTGAATTTTGCAAAATCCCGTCTTAGTGAGCTCCTACGTTCTAAAAGGAACCCCCATGCAAAATTTGAGATACCTAGCATTTGTAGTTTCTTAGATTTCGTTGACCTTTCGCTTTTATAGATAAGATTTCAAATTCTTTAATAGCTTTCAGGACACTGAAATAGTGCTATAAGTAGTTGGTCCTACCATCACTTCACGATTTAACTCAGCTGGTGCTGTAACAGGTGGAAATTTTTTGCCTGTCTTTTGTTTACTTACGAAGTTAGTAAATTGAAGTTACAAGCACTATTGAACTATATTACTGTTTTTAAAGC